TAGGCCACAAAATGAGAAAAAATATTTGCAATACCTATTATTAACAAAAGACTGCTATCCAGAATGTACTTTTTAATTCATAAAAAAATAAATGGAAAACAGATAATAATCAGAAAAATAGAAATGAAGATCACAATGAAAAATTGTTTTATATGCTTTATATTGGTTAAAATTAAATTTGCTAATTACTGGCAGGGATGAACATTCTTATGAGATCAGGAGATTTTTAAATGGGATTTATGTTTGCCTTGTGGGGTGTAAATTGGTATACCTATAGCAAAAGACAATTTGGCACTATTTTGAAAACTGAACATTCACACACACTACAACCTGTAATTACCACTTCTAGATTTATACCCTAAGAAATTCCTACAAATATACATGAAGAAACATGTATAAGAATGATCGTAGCCCTAGCCCTGGCCAGTGTGGCTCAGTGGATTGAGCACTGGCCTGCGAACCAAAGGGTCACAGGGTTCGATTCCCAGTCAGGGCACATGCCTGGGTGTAGGCCAGGTCCCCAGTAGGGGACATGTTGAGAGGCAACCTCATATTAATGTTTCTGTCTCTCTCCTCTCTCTCCCTTACCCTCTGTCTAAAAATTAAAAATAAAAAATAAAATAAGATCTTTAAAAAAAAAAAAAAAAGTGAGGCCAGGGCAAGGGCTCTCTTGTTTAAGAAAAAAAAAAAAAAAAGATTATAGCATCCATGTTTATAGCAGCAAAATAAACATAAGAAAAACAACCAAAATAACCATTGGCAAGAAGATAACTTCTCAATGGGCAAGCTTCAGCTCAAACATCACTTCCTTAGGCCTTCTCCAACCTCTATTTAAAACACACACATACACACACTCAGTCACTTCCTTCTTTCACATCAAGACACAGCTGTCACTTATTATCTGAAATCAATGAACTTGTTTTAAGGTATGTCTTCTCCCCACTAGACAGTAAATTCCACGAAAAGAACATTGTGCTTCTTCTAAGCCTTGGCACCTAGTAACACTGAAAATCCAAAGGAAGGAGAAAAAGAAACTAAAAGAGGGGGAAAGGAAAGGTGGGTGAAGGAGAGGTCATTGAGATCTGACAAAAGGGAAAGGGAGCCAAGTCATAGAAGCTACCCATACCAAATGGAGCAACTTTGTACATGGAATGTATGGTCATGGTTTGAGGAAGGACTGGAGAAAGACAAGAAGAAAAGATTTGGGGAGAAAATCTAGAGGGTACTGAGACTTTATAAAAGTGTTTCCCCTTTCGTCCTCACCGGTGTGGCTCAGTTGGTTGGAGTGTCATCGCATGGATGGAGAGTTCGTGGGATTGATTCCTAGTCAGAACACCTACCCAGGCTGCAGGTCCAGTCCTAGAAGGAGCCTGTACAAGACTACGGCCTATCGATCACTGTCTCTCTCCTCCCTCCCTCTCTTTCTCTCCCCCGCCTTCTCTAAAGCAATTAAAAAAAAGTGTCTCAGGAGAGGATAAAAATAAATAAATAAAGTGTTTCCCTTTTTAGCTTAAACCCTTGCTCCCACTCTTGATACGTTTCATCAGTGAGGGAGAAAATAAGACATTCCCATTGGAAGACAGTGGAAAATAACATTTATGTTCATTGAAATTTGCCTTATCGTCAACTTTGCTTATTTCATAAAATACAGGGTGACAATTGTTATGGGCTTAATTAATTGTATGCTCCCAAAATTCATGTTGAAGTCTTAACCCCCAGTGCCTCAGAGTGTGACTGTACTTGGAGACATGGTCTTTAAGGAGGTAATTAGGGTAAAATGAGGTCATATAGATAGGCTCTAACTCACTATGACTGGATCGTTATTAAGAGATTAGGACACTGACATGTGCGCACACAGAGAAAAGATCATGTGAAGACACAGCAAAGGTGCAGCTTTCTGCAAGCCAAGGCCAGACCTGCCAGAAAATAAATTTCTGTTGTTTAAGCCACCCAGTCTGTGATATTTTGTTATGGCAGCCCTGGATAACTAATACACTAGTCTAAATGAAAAGTACTTTGCCTAGAGTTGTCTTAGTCTGAAGAAAAACTGCCCTGTGCTTCCCTAAGTCCTGTAAACCAACATCTATCAAGGAATAGTAAAATCTGTCATACTATTTAAGAATTATTGAAATTGCCTAATTATCCAAGTATGGGATGTTGGTAAACTGCTGCTAATCTTTTGTCCCCTTACTGATCCATAGGAAGACTAAACAAAACCAATTTATCCATTTATCCCTGGAGGGAGAGTGCCCAGGGCCCACGGCTTTGCCAGAAAAGAAAATGCACAGCAAAAATGTCTGAGATCTGGGTAAAACTATAAAATAAGAGATGTTTAATTAAATTTACATATAAACTTCATTAACTTTTAAATTTAAAGCATATACAAATTTTGTTACATTTGAAAATAATTAGTACAGCCCTGAGTGGCTCAGTTGGCTGGAGTGATATCCTGTACACCAAAACAGTTGCAGGTTCAACCCTCAGTCAGGGCACATACCTAAGTTGCAAGTTCGATCCCTGGTTGAAGCACATATGCCAATCAATGTTCCTCTCTCACATATGTGTGTTTCTCTCTCACTCTCTCTCTCCCTCCCAAAACCCCCTCCCTATCCTCTAAAAATCAATAAAAAACATACCCTTCGGTGAGGATTTAAAAAAAAAACTGAGGTGGAAAATCTGTCGCAGACCTCTGCTTCAAGCCAAAACAGTGTTCAGCACCAATTATTTAAGTGATATTTCCAGGATTTTTTTTAAGTTGAAGAGACATAAACAGTTGTACATAGCTTTATATTTTTAATACTTAAATATAGTATATTCTTGGGTCACTTTTTTCTCCTGTTTCAACATCTCCATAGTTACCCTGCAGATTACAATTGTCATCTTCAATTTCTAACAAACTAGCTTGAACATAACTTCATTATACATGTCTGTTTTATGTTGTTGTCATAAATTACAGCTCTATAAATTGTGATTTCCTGCCTCATTTTTATTATCAAATCACCTTCTGAGTAGGGCCTCAACAATGTGCCTTTTTTTAAATCCTCACCTGAGGATATGTTCATTAAATTTTTAGAGAGAGGAAGGGAGAGTGAGACATCCATGTAAGACGAAAGTTGAACGGTTGCCTCCCGTACGTGCCTCAACCTTTTGGTGTACGGGACGATGCCCCAACCAGCTGAGCCACTGGGCCAGGGCAACAATGTGCCTTTTTAATATCTGCTCCAAATGATCCTTATGTATAAGACCACTGAGAACCTCCCACTAAAGTGGAAATGAGGGTGCACTGGAGGGGCGCTTGTAGGATCTGGGAAGAAAGTAGGTTTGCAATGACAGTAAGAAATCTTGCAAAGCTACAACACGGCAAGCATGGGGTTAAAATAGACTGGTACTGTTACTCTGTAAGGTATCATCTGGCAATATGTTGAAACATTTAGAAGTATACATAATGCTTATAATCAGGCATCAGCCTATTATTCTTTATCATTTTTCTACCTCCACCCAATTCATACAACCACACCATCACTGGCTCCAGCTCTCCTAACATGTAACTTTTAAGAAGGCACAGAAGGCAGGCAGTGAGAGTCGCATTTTCCCTTCCGGAGGGGCATCGTTCACTGCCAGGGTATGCTCAAGCCCTGTTGAGCCCTGACCTCTGTGGGAACCCACTTCCCTAGTTTCTTCATTTCATAGATGAGAAAACTGGACTCAAAGGAAAAGGTTGGCCCAAGGTAATCATGGTAGAGCCTGAATTAAAACATAATTCCTGACTCCTTTCCACAGTATCATATCTCTGTTAGATTAACAAGAGGACCCTCCCTATGTTTCCTAATGTTGTTTTTGGAAACAGTGTAATCGTATCAGGCTTTTAAAAAGCTAAAATGTACAGATGCCTACAATGTAATTTCCTGCCTGCTGCCACTAACAATTTTTATGTACTTCAGTGATTTTCAACCAATATGTTGCAAGAATTTTTAAAACATGCACTATCTATGTAGTCAGGGGAACTGACCTCTCTTCTCTTAGATTGTCAAGTAAAAAAAATGACAACAGCCAACACAACAATAGCCATCTAGACTGAAGGAATCAAAATTATACCTATTTTTCTGTCGGATCAGCCAAAAGTGTTTTATGGAATGCCTCAGAGTTTTAGCAATTAGTTTATATGCACCATGAGATGGAAAAGGTTGAAAATTGTTGATGTACTTAATAGAAAAAAAAATCTTGTTTTTGGCGACAGAAATCCTGGAATAAATAGTAGACATAACACCCTGGCCAGTGTGGCTCAGTTGGTTGGCTGATTTCCCACAAACCAAAAGGTTCGGGGTTCAATTCCTGGTCAAGGCACATGCCTGGGTTGCGGGTTTGGTCCCCAGTTGGGGTGTGTGCAGGAAGCAGATGATCGATGTTTCTCTTCCTCTCTTTCTCCCTCCCTTCTCCTCTCTTTGGAAGCAATAAAAGAAAAAAAATTTGTAGTAGACACAAGGGGCAGCAAGACGGTTTAATCTAAGGCTGGAGGGTGAGGTTGCTCTTTCTCAAGACAAATTTCTATTTCACTATGTTAATTCATTAACTTTAATTTGTTTAAGTTGATTCTAAAGAAGAGAAGACGGGGGAGGGAAAGAGAAACATCAGTTTGTCGTTCCACTTATTGATGCATTCATTGGTTGATTCTTGTATGTGCCCTGACTATGGATCGAACCCACAACCTCCACGTGTCCAGATGATGCTCTAACCAACTGAGCCACCCAGCCAGGGCAGTTAAGTTTACAATACCAGTAAGTACAATCCTTTTAAGGAAAGACCTACATTAATTACTCAAGGCACCCTGCAGAGATCCATGTCATTGTAACATTGTTACTCCACCCTATGGGATAGAAGAGAAATAGATACTTCTTAGTAAAACCAATACAGACAGAAGTCAGGAAACAGTTTCTAGCTTATTCATACGAAGGGTATGCCTAAAATAAACAATAAAAATAATAGTCTGAAACAGAGGTTACTTTTAACTCCAGCACATTTTAATTCTAAAGAGCTTTAATAAATAAAAAGCCCCAAGTTTCCAATGTCCATCAAAAGGGGAATGAATAATCAATCCCAACAGAGTTGGGACTAATTTTTTTTTAAAGAAGGGGGAGGAATGAAGATTGGTAACCATTCTCTTACAAAAAGAATAAAACACTGCTTCCTCAAATTACCATCCAGAATGTCACTTGATATGAATAGGCAGGAGGAAAAAAACTGTCCATATTTGCCTTATATACAGTATTGGGCAATTAAATGCCAACTTCACTATTTAGGAATGGCTTGCTAAAACATTGAAAAAATGAAAGACTTCATCCTTGTCGTAGACTGCCACTTCAGTGGAACATTCGGTGCACATAACTGGGTGATAGATTTCTTCCACTTCTGTCTCTGCCTGCTCTGTAGGATCTTCGTGGTTAGACCTCATCTTCTTACGGCCTCGCTTTTTCTTCTTGTTCTCTGGGGTTTTGTATCTTAGAACCTCCTCTTTGTTGACAGAACAATTCATCACAAACATTGCTCTATATTGAGTTTTGTATGATTCATGCCTAAAAGAAATAAAATGGAGAATGTGTGTTTATGTTCTATTTTAATAGTTACCCAACTTAGATAAAATTTGAAAACACAAAAAACTTACTGAAATACCAACCAAAGATGAGAACAAAACGCGAAACTTACAGAAATGTTAAGAGTTATTTTAAGAATAGGAAGAACCGCACTGGCTGGTGTGGCCCAGTGGGTTGAGCATTGACCTGTGAACCAAAAGGCCACTGGTTCGATTCCCAGCCGGGGCAAATGCTTGGGTTGTGGGCCAGATTTCCGGTTAGGGGTGTGTGAGAGGCAATCAACCAATTGATGTTTCTCTCGCATGTCTGTGTTCCTCTCCCTCCCTTCCTCTTTAAAAATAAATAAAATATTAAAAAAAGAATAGGACGAACCTTGCCCTGACCAGGGTGGCTCAGTTGGTTGGTTGTCGTCCCACAAAGCAAAACGCTGCCGGTTTGATTCCCACCCACGGTACATGCCTGGGTTGCGGGTTCAGTCCCTGATCAGGGCATTTGCAAGAGACAACAAATCACTATTTCTCTCTTGCATCAATGTTTCTCTCCCTATCTTCCTCCCTCCCCTCCCAAAAAATAAATAACTTTAAAAAATAAATAATTTTTTATTTTTAGAAAGAGGGGAAGGGAGGAAGATAGAGAGGGAGAGAAACATCAATGCGTGGCCACCTCTCAAGCACCCCCAACTAGGGACCCTGACCGCAACCCAGTCATATTCTGACTGGAAACCAAACCAGCAACAGCCCCCCTCCCCATTCGCAGGCCAGCACTCAATCCACTGAGCCACACTAACTAGGACATAAAATCTTTTTTAAAAAAAGAATAGATAATGTTTCCTTTGTCCTCCTCATATACTTAATATTTCCCTACTTCTTTTCCTACTTAATGAATGAAGTTCATTACAGAATGAAAGGAGTAAAATTAGCCCTAGCTGGTGTAGCTCAGGTGATTGGAGCATCTTCCCATAAACCAAAAGGTCACAAGTTTGTTGCCCTGTCAGGGTCAGGGCACATGACTAGGCTGTGGATTCCTTCCTGATCAGGCCCTTGCCAGAGGCAACCGATGATGTTTGTCTCTCACATCATGTTTCTCTCCTCCTCTCTCTCTCTCTCTCTCTCTCCCTCACTTCCCCTCTCTCTCAAATCAATAAGCATGTCCTCAGGTGGGGAGAAAGAAGGCGGGGGAGGGGAGAAGGAAGAGCGGGGTGGGGGGAAGGGGCAGGGGAGGGGGGACGGAGGGGTTTGGGGAAAGGGAAGGAGGGGGAGTGGGGGAGGGATGGGAGAGAGAGGGAGGAAGAAAAATTATCTTTGTTCACAGATGATGTCATCTCACATGTACATTGGGTTGGCCAAAAAGTTTGTTTTTTTTCCATAAGATGACTCTAGTAGTGCTTAGTTTAACTTCATTTGAAACAACTGTTAGATTGTATGGTGACAGCTGTCATATCAGCATGCGTTTAAAAAAAAAAAAGATCAAAATTGGTGAATTTGGGGGTAGCCATTTTAATATAGAAAATATGCAACATTTTCAGCATATTATGCTTTATTATTTCAAGAAACATAAAAACGCAAGTGTGTATATATAAAACACAAAAAGATTTGTGCAGTGTATAGAGAAGGTGCTGTGAGATCGAACATGTCAAAAGTGGTTTACAAAGTTTCATGCTGGAGATTTCTCACTGGACAACACTCCATAGTCGGGCAGACCAGTTGAAGTTGATAGCGATCAAATAGGGACACTAATTGAGAACAATCAACATTATACCATGTGGGAGATGGCTGACATACTCAAAATACCTGAATCAATAAAGTTATTAGTGAAAATGAAAAATGTGCCTATTATTTTTCAGAAGAAACCATACAGATTTTTTGGCCAACCCAATAGAAAACTTCAATGATTACACAGAAAAGTAATTAGCATAAATAAACTAATTCAGTAGTTATGGGGTACAAAAGCAACACACAAAAATCTGCTGCATTTCTGTACACTGGCAAGGAACAATCCGAAAAGAATGTGTAACAGAGATTACCAGAGGCTGGGGCAGTAGGGGAGAAGAATGGGGATTTATTGTCTAATGGATACGGAGGTTCTGTTTGGAATGACAAAAGTCCTGGAAATGGATAGTGGTGATGGCTGCACAATATTGTGAATGCAGTTAATGTCATCGAATTGTATACCTAAAATGATTACAATAAAAAACAAGATAAGAGTGCCCAATGTTACTGCTCCTAACCAATATGGTACTGGAAATCTAAGCTAGAGCAATTAGGCAAGAAAAAGAAGTAAAAGGCATCCAAATTGAAAAGGAAGAAGTAAAACTGTTCATTTGCAGATGACATAGTCATATATATATATTTAGAGTTTTTATATATATAAAAAACTCTAAAGACTCCACCAAAAAAGTGTTATTAGCTAATAAATGAATTCAGTAAAGTTGCAGGATACATAAATCAATATACAAAAATCTGTTGTGTTTCTATATACCATCTGAAAAAGAAATTAACAATCCTGTTCACAGTAGAATCAAAAATAATGAAATACTTAGGAATAAATTTAACCAAAGAGCCTTGGCTGGTGTGGCTCAGTGGATTGAGTGTCAGCCTGCAAACCAAAGGGTTGCCAGTTCGATTCCCAGTCAGGACACATGCCTGGGCTGTGGGCGAGGTCCCTAGTAAGGAGCACATGAGAGGCAACCTCACATTCCTCTCTTTCTCCCTCCCTTCCCCTCTCTCTAAAAATAAATCTTTTTTAAAAAATTCTAATTTAAAGAAAATTTAACCAAAGAAGTAAAAGACCTATACACTGAAAACTATAATACACTAAGGAAAGAAATTGAAAAAAAAAAACCCCACAAATAGATGTAATGATACCCTGTATTCATGAATCAAAAGAATTAATACTGTTAAAATGTCCATACAACTCAAAGCCATCTGTAGTGTCAATTCAATACCTATCAAAATCCCAATGGCACCCTAGCTGGTGTGGCTCCATGGATTGAGCCCCAGACTGAAAACAAAAGCGTTGCTGGTTCAATTCCCAGTGCAGGGCACATGCCTGGGTTGAGGCCAGGTCCCCAGCAAGGGACGCATGAGAGGCAACCATGCAATTGATATTTCCCTCTCTTCTTCCCTTCCCATCTCTAAAAATAAATAAAATCTTTAAAAAAAAATTTTCAATGGCATTTTTCACAATACTAGAAAAGAAAAAATCCTAAAATTTACATGGAACCACAAAAGACCCCAAACAGTCAAAACAATCTTGAGAAAGAAGAACAAAGCTGGAGGCATCACACTTCCAGGGTTTCAAATTGCAGTACAAAGCTAGAGAGTATGGGAATGGGCATAAAAACAGACTAATACATCAATAAAACAGAATCAAGCAAGAGCCCAGAAATAAACCCACAATATATAACTAATATTTGACAAGGGAGCCAAGAATATTTTATATGGAAAAAGATAGCCTCTTCAATAAACAGTATTGGGAAAACTGGAGGTTCACATGCAAATGAATGAAATTGAACCCCTATTACACACCACTCACAAAAATTAATTTTAAATGAATTAGACATAAACGTAAGGCCTGAAATTGTAAAACTCCTAGAACAGGAGAAAAGCTTCTTGGCATTGGTCTTAGAAATGTTTTTTTACTATAACACCAAAAGCACAATCAACAAAAGCAAAAATAAACAAGTGGGACTACATCAAACTAAAAAGCTTCTACATAGCAAAGAAACAATCAACAAAATAAAAAGGTAACCTACAAAATGGGAGAAAATATTTGCAAATCATATACTATCTGATAAGGGGTTAATAATGAAAATATACACGGAACTCATATAACTCAATAGCAAAAAAAAAAAAGCCAATTAAAAAATTGGCAAAGGATCTGAATAGACATTTTTCCAAAGACATACAAATGGCCAACAAGTACAAGAAAAGGTGCACATCACTAATGATCAGAAAAATGCAAATCAAAATCACAATGAAATATCACCTCACACCTGTCAGAATGACTGTTATCAAAAATAGAAGAGCCAACAAAAGTGAACCCTTGCACACTGTTGGTGGGAATTGAAACTGGTACAGCCTCTATGGAAAACAGTATGAAAGCTCCTCAAAAAATTATAAATAGAACTACCATATAATCCAGTAATCCCTCTTCTGGATATATATCTGAAGGAAATAAAATCACCATTGCCCAGTGTGGCTCAGTTGGTTGGGCATCATCCCACAAAGCAAGAGGTCACAAGTTCAAGTCCCAGTTGGGGCACACGCCTGGGTTGTGGGTTCAGTCCCCAGTCAGACGGCATATGAGAAGCAACTGATCAATATTTTTCTCTCACATCAATGTTTCTCTCCCTCTCTCTCTTCCTCCCTCCTCCCTCTCTAAAAGTAAATAAATAAAATCTTTTAAAAAATTAATAAAATCACTATCTCAAAGAGATATCTGCACACCTACCACAGCCAGGTAGGTGATCACGGTCAACATTAATAGTCATAAATCATGTTGATAAATTGTGCCCTTGATAGAATATGATGAAAATGACACTTTGCTGGTCTCCCCCCAAAAATCTACTGCAACATTTATTTACAATAGCCAAGACATGGAAACAATCTAAGTATCCATCAGTGGATGAATGGAGATGAATGGAGGTGAATGGATAAATATGGTAAATATACACAATGGAATATTATTCAGCCATTTAAAAAAAAAAAGAAAGAAAGAAAACCCTACCATTTGTGACAACATAGATGAATCTTGAGGGCATTATGCAAAGTGAAATGAATCAGACAAAGACAAATACTGTATGATTTCACTTATATGTGGAATCTAAAAAAAAAACTGAACTCACAGAAACAGAACAGATTAGTGGGGAAGGGTGGTTGGGTGAAATATCAAAGGGTACAAACTTCCAGTTATAAGATGACTAAGTTCTGGGAATGTAACATACAGCATGATGACTACAGTTAACAATACTGTACTGCATACTTGAAAGTATTAAACAGCTAAGAGAGTACATCTTAAATTCTCACCACAAAAAAAAATTACTGAGTTGATGGATGTATTTTAACTAACCTTATGGTGATAATTTTGCAATATATTCACACACCAAATCACATTATACACCTTAAACTTACTCAATGTTAATATCTCATAAGTCAAAAAAGCTGAGAAAATTTTAATTTTTTAAGGTTTTTAAAAAATGAATCAGTTGACAATAAATTGAATATTCAAATGAAGTATTCTTCAACTTCAAATTTTTATAATGGTTAAAATAGTAAATTTTATGTTACATGCATTTTATCAATAAAAAAAGCATATTTGAGAGCTATCATTCCACAACACACAGTTTCACTAAATCCTTGTCAATACTAGCAAGTGCTTTACTTTAAACTACTTGTGACAGAACTATATATAAACAAAATTATTTAAATAAAGATTAGCCATGTAGCACCAAGGATATATAAGAACAGAACCTTATCAAAATTCCTAAGTACCTTAAAAATCTACTTCTGACTTTTAAAAAGGCCCGCCAAGGCCCTGGCTGGGTAGCTCAGTTGGTTCGATACTCCAAGGTTGTGGGTTCGATTTCCGGTCAGGACACATACAAGAATCAACCAATGAATGCATCAATAAGTGGAACAACAAATCAATGTTTCTCTCTTTTTCTCTGCCTTCCCCCTCTCTTAAAAAAAAATAATTTTTTTTAAAAAAAGAGAAATCTGTTTAAAAAAATAAAAAGGCCCACCAAGCCTTGGCCAGTCTGGCTCAGTTGGTTGGAGTGTCATCCTGCAAACCAAAGCATCATGGGTTCAATTCCTGGTTGGGGCACATAGCCGGGTTGTGGGTTCAATCCCCAGTCAGGGCATACGTCGCCAGAGTGTGTACAAAAAGGCAACCAGTCACATTGATGTTTCCTCTCTCTTTCTCTCCCAGCAAGGAAAAAATGTCTTTCGGTGAGGGTTTAAAAAAGAAAGGTCCACCAAGTTGGAAGGGGGGGTGGGGGGTAGGGGGGTGTGGGGGGGGGTGTGGGGGGGTGGGGGGTGGGGGGTGTGTGTGTGTGTGTAATGCTACCTTTTATCTCTTACCTTTGGCAATCAAGACACAATGTGGTCATGCACGCAGGGCAATTCAAGACAGCATCACTATTTGGAACAGGCTGTTGTTGGCGACGTGCCCTCTGTATTCCAAAACCATGGTAGCTACAACAGGAAAAGAAATGGGGGGAGACACATTAAAGCCAAATCTTGATTTCTAATGCTACTCTCCAATAAAAGTAATCAGTAATCCTTAGAAAAATGGTTGATTCTAGGAATGGGATATACAAGATGACCTGGAGCATGACATGCTAAGCAAAGATGTGCGAAGGAAAAAAAATGCCAATGCAGTAGGTATGTCAAAGGGGAAGAGAAGCGAAACAAATGTGCCCTCAATGGCCAAAACTAAAACAATTAGAACAAAATTAAGTAGGACTGGATTATAATCCAAAGTATAAATATTCGTGAGTTCACGCTAATATAAATGACAAAACAAATAAATGGGGGAGAATAGACAAGTCTCCTATACAGAATTACAAATAATTTATGAAAATATTCTCCCCTCATAACTCCCCATTCCTTAAGTCTCGGCTGCACATAGTGACTTCCTTCCAAAGTGTACAGTATGAAAAGAAGGGGAAAGGGTAACTTTATAGTAGAGAAACCTGACAAACACTTCCTCACAAAGGTGACCAAAATAGACACTTATAGTCATAAATCATGTTGATAGAATATGCCCTTGATATAATGTGACAAAAATGTCACTTTATCTCTTTTGTCTTCCTTCCAAAAACCTATAATCCCGGTCTACTCATGAGAAAAACTACAAATTTCAATTAGAGAGGCCTCCTACAAAATACAGTCATGTACCACATAACAACATTTCAGTCAATGACAGAACACATATACACTGTGTTCCATAGATTATAATGGAGCTGAAAAATTACTATCACCTAGTGACACTGTAGCCATGGTTACATTTTAGCACAATGTATTACTCAGCAACCCATTACTCAGGTGTTTGTAGTTATACTGGTGTACACAAACCCACTGTATCACCATTCATATAAAAATATAATGCATACAACCCTGGCTGGTGTGGCTCAGTGGTTTGAGTGCTGGCTTGCGAACCAAGGGGTCGCTGGTTCAATTCCCAGTCAGGGCACATGCCTGGGTTGCAGGCCAGGTCCCCAGTAGGGGACACCTGAGAGGCAACCACACACTGATGTTTCTCTCCCTATCTTCCTCTCTTCCTTCCCCTCTCTAAAATTGAATAAATAAAATCTTTAATATATATATTAATAATATATAGTGCTTATGATTACAGTATGTAATACTTGATAATGATAATAGCTATGTTGCTGGGTTGTGTATTTACTATATACACTTTTATCATTATAAAAATAAAATGCTGTAAAACTGTACTATGTTACACTGGTGGCAGCCTTATACATTTTGTGTTTACCAAGTCTCTTTTTTTTTATTAAATTTATTGGGGTGACATTGGTTAATAAAAATATATAGGTTTCAAGTACAATTCCATGATACATCATCTGTATATTGCATTGTGTGCCCAACCACCCAAAGTCAAATCTTTCATCACAATGTATTTGAACCTTGTCCTGACTAGTATGGTTTAGTGAGTTGGGCATCATCCCACAAACCAAAAGGTCACCAGTTCTATTTCCAGTCAGAACAGCTGTGTGCAATGCGGGTTTAGTCCCCAGCTGGGGACATGTGAGAGGCAACCAATCAATGCTTCTCGTGTGTGTGTGTGTGTGTATGTGTGTGTTTGTGTATTTGACCATCTTTACCCATATGTCTAGTCCCCAGCTGGGGACATGTGAGAGGCAACCAATCAATGCTTCTCGTGTGTGTGTGTGTGTGTGTGTGTGTGTGTGTGTGTGTGTGTGTGTGTGTGTGTGTGTGTGTGTGTGTATTTGACCATCTTTACCCATATGTCTGGTAACCACCATATTGCTGTCTGTGTCTATGGGTTTTTGTTTGTCTTGTTTGTTCATTTGTTTCATGTTTATCAAGTCTCTTGATAACATCATTTTCTCTTGTGCTTGATTTAATCTCATGCTGTTTCGTAAATTTAGTGCAGCGTAAGCATACAGTAGTAACGTCCTAGGCCTTCACATTCACTCTCCAGGCTCTCGCTGACCAACCTGGAGCAACTTTCAGTCTTGCAAACTCCTTTCCTGTTCATTAAGTGCCTATACAAGTGTACCTTTTTTTTTTAATCTTTTATACCACATTTTTACTGTACCTTTTCTATGTTTGGCTACACAAATGTTTACATTGTGTTTTAACTCTCTACAGTATTCAGCACAGTTACATGCTGTACAGGTTTGTAACCTAGAAGCAATAAGCTAGACCATATAGCCAAAGTATATAGAAAGCTATACCATCTAGTTTTGTCTAAGTGCACTTTATGATGTTCACATACAACAAAATCACCAAATAAAGCATTTCTCAGAACATATCTCTGTCATTAAGTGGCACATGACTATACCTGACCAGTGCTCCTCAAAACTGTTAAGGTCATTAAAACCAAGGAAAGTCAGCCCTTACCAATGTAGCTCAGTTGTTTGCAAAGCAAAGACCATGGGTTCCATTCCAGATCCAGGCACATGCCTGGATTGCAGGTTCAGTCCCCGGTCAGGGGCAAGCAATAGGCAACCAATCCATGTTTCTCTCTCACACTGATGTTTCTTAACCTCTCTTTCTCCCTCCCTTCCCCTCTCTAAAAATAAATAATTTTTTTTAAAAACTAAGAAAAGTCTGAAAAACTGTCACAACCAAGAAGAGCCTAATGAGACATGACAACTAAATGTAACATGGTATCCTGGATCGGCTCTTAGAACACAAAATGGACATTAGGTAAAAACTAAGGAAATCTGAGTAACATATGGACTTTAATTAATAATAAGTATCAATACTAGTTCACTGTGACAAATGTACCATATTAATATAAGATGTTAATAATAGGGGAGGCTGTGTGTGTGTTGTTGTTATCATCATTGGGTGGGTATATGGAAATTCTCTATATTATCATCTCAATTTTTCTGTAAATCTAAAACTATTCTAAAAAATAAAGTCTATTAATTAAAAAGAAAACACAGTAAAGCTACATTTTAAAAAGACAGCAAGTAAGCTCTAATTGCCTAAGGATTTTTGTCTCTTGTTCCCTGTTGTATTTCAAGAGTCAAGAACATTATCTGGCTAGTAGTAAGTGCTCAGTAAATATGTGCTGATTGAAAGAATAAAGCATGGATCTACATATGAAGGCACTAAAGTATAAAAGTATATATATATATATATTTTTAAAGATTTTCTTTACTTTAGAGAGAGGGGAAGAGAGGGAGAAAGAGAGGGAGAGAAACATCAATGTATAAGAGATACACTGATCTGCTGCCTCTCACATGCCCCCAAGTGAGGACCTGGACCTTCATCCAGGAATGTGCCCTGACCAGGAATCTAACCCACAACCTTTCAGTTCACGGGCCAGTGCTCAATCCATCCACGGCTAAAAGCATACATTCTTAAAAGGGGCTTATGATAAACTAAAATGAGAACAAGAGGCAAGTAGCTCAGTTGCTTAGAGCGTCATCCCGATATGCCAAGGTTGTGGGTTTGATCACCAGTTGAGACACATACAAGAATCAACCAATGGCCCTTCCTGGTATGGCTCAGTGGATTGCGTGCCAGCATGCAAAACAAAGGATAGCAGGTTTAATTCCCAGTCAGGGCACATGCCTGAGCTGCAGGCTAAGCCCCCAGTAAGGCGGCGCACGGGAGGTAACCACACACTAATGTTTCTCTCCCTCTTTCTCCTTCCCTTCCTCTCTCTCTAAAAATAAATAAATAAAATCTTAAAAAAAAAAAAAAAGAAGGCCCAGCCCAGTGTGGCTCTGTGCACTGAGTGCTGGCCTGCGAACCAAAGGGTCGCCAGTTCGATTCGCAGTCTAGGGCATATGCCTGGATTACAGGCCAGGCCCCCCAGTGGGGGATGCACAAGAAGCAACCACACACTGATGTTTCTCTCCCTCTCTTTCTCTTTCCCTTCCCCCCTCTCTAAAAATAAATAAATATTTTTTTAAGAAAAGAATAAACCAATGAATGCATCAATAAGTGAGACAACAAATAAATGTTTCTCTCTCTAAAATCAAGAAAGAAAAAAAGAAATTTTTTAGCTCTGGCTGGTGTGGCTCAGTAGACTGAGTGCCAGCCTGTGAACCAGGGGCTCGCTGGGGTTTGATTCCCAGTGTAGGGCACATGCCTGGATTGCAGGCCAGGTCCCCAGTTGAGGGGGCACGAGATGCAACCACACACTGATGTTTCTCTTTCTCTCTTTCTCCCTCTCTTCTCCTCTCTCTGAAAATAAATAAAACCTTTAAAAAATTTATTTAGGTTTTATAAATGTTTCATTTATTTATTTTTAGGGGAGAGAAGGAGAGAAACATTGATGTGTGGGAGAAACATCAATTGTTTGTCTCTTGTTCACCCCCAGATGGGGACCAAGCCTGCAACCCAGACACGTACCCTGAAGGGAATCAAACTGGTGACCTTTCGGTTTGCAGGCGGGGGCTCAATCCACTGAGCCACAATCATCCGGGGCAATAAAAAAATTTTAAAGCAAATCTTTTGGCATTAACTTCCTAAACTTTTTAGCCCTGGCTGGTGTGGCTCAATGGACTGAGCACCAGCCTGTGAACCAAAGGGTTGCTGGTTTGATTCCCAGTCAGGCACATGCCTGGGTTGCAGGCCAGGTCCCCAGTAGGGGGCACACGAGAAGCAATCACACTTTCCTGTTTCTCCCTCCCTTTCTCCCTTTCTCCCTCCCTTCCCTTCTCTCGAAAAATAAAATAAAATCTTAAAAAAAAAACTTCATAAACTTTTTAAATGTTTATGGGGGAAAATACTGAAAACATGTATATATTTTCTTTTTTATTGTATTTTTCTCAATTACCATTTATCACCTTTATACCCTCTTCCACCTACCCCCTATTTTATTCTTGAACATTTAGCCAATTTCAAAACCCAAACCTCAAGAAAGTAACTTTTTCATTCAGTAGATATTTACTGAGTACCAATTTAACAATGTGCAAGACATTTTGGATACAAACATTGAACAAGATCACTGCCCTCATGGTGCTTCCAATGCAGGAAATTCACTTTTTGAAGGTGGTTTCTGCAGTCTTAGAAGGCAAATACTGCTTAATGCAGGAATGTGAATAAGTCAATAAAGAGTTATTTCGTCTCAAAATTATATAACAATGAAAATATATTCCATCTCTGTTCACTGACAAATTCTGTCACCAGAATCAGGGGATAGACTGTAAACTCCTTGACTATCTCAATATCTCTCATAGCATTTAAAACGTTCATTTCACACTGTGGGTAATCAAAAAATGTTAATTAAATAAATGCAAAAAGCAGGTGGATGAAGTGGCGCATGGGTGAAACAGAGGAAAAAAGGACAAAGTGGGAGAATAAAGTCTGAAAGGTGGTATATAAACACCCACACAACATAAAAATACATCTGGACTTGAAAAATATAGATTCCTGGATCCAACTTTACCTGAACCAAAACCTCCTAGAGTACTTCTCAAGGGTTTGCATTACATTCTTTCCAAGAGACTTTGAAGCAGAGCCAAGTTAAGGAAGCATTGTGTTAACAGCAGCAAGTTGCCTAGTTTTTACTTTTATGACTTACCAGCCTTTATAAAATCAAATCTGAAAATGAGTATGGAGTTTCCTCTTGGGATGATGAAAATGTTTGAAATTAAACAGAATATACTAATTGGCACTGAATTGTTCACATTTAAATGGCTAGTTTTACATGTGAATTTCACCTCAATTTTTAATAATATAAAAGGAATCAAGATGGCAGAGGAGTGAATGGAAGTCACACTGATCTCCACAACTAAATTGGAGAAATCACCTTGAAAAAACAACTGAACAATACTGAAAGAGGAGCCTTATAACCTCAAACAGAAGAATCCCCATTAGCACAACCTAACTGGTAAGGAGTGCGGTAGAGATTTGAGAAGGCAGCAGCGCCAGAGGATATTGAAACAGCCAGTTGAATCCCCCTGAGAAGAGTGGGGTCTAAACGAAAAGCAGGGATCTGCAGCCTACAGCACCAGAGCCCAAAAAGTACACAGATAACAATCAGCTGTGAAAAGCGTCAGAGTTGCTCTCTGCCAGAGACGGGCGGCTGGAGACTCAAAGAGCCATTTAAAGGGTCGACACATAAATTTTTATTTGCATCCACTTACCCTGGTCTCCGGCAAAGGCGGAGGCAGACTGGGCTAGAGACGCCTGAGGAGAAACTGGAGAAGGAGGGTTTGTTGGAGAGAACGGAGAGAATGAATAGCTGACAGGATCCCAGTGCTGACTCATCCCCCATCATGGCAGCAGCCATCTGGCTCAGGCAGAACACTTCCCTGAGTGGCAGCAGCGAGAGAGGACCCAATAACCCCGCCCCCAGGAGGGACTCTGCCCCACCCTATGGTGCCTAAGCCTGACTGCTGACTGTAGAGCAACTACATTAACAACTGAAGGAGACAGCCACAAACAATAGATTCCTGGAAGTCTTGAAAAGACTGCCGAAGGTCAGACAGGTCAAAAGCTGACATCATCAGAGGCAGACCCAGAAAGAAAAAAACAGTGGTCTCCTACCATAGAAGTTCACACCACAAAGTCAGGAAATCAATTGATCAATTTAAGAAGCAGAAGCAAAAAAGAAGAGTCTCACAAAGAATGGGAAGACAAAGAAATACCCCCAGGCAAAGGGAAAGGAGGAATCCCAGAAAGAGAACTAAATGAAATAGAAGCAAGTAAACTATCAGATATTGAGTTCCAAACAACAGTTCTAAGGAAGCCCAATGAGCTCAGTGAGCTCAGAGAGAATTACAAAAAACTACAGGGAAACTATGAAGAACTTACTGCAAACTATATCAGCAGGAAAAAGGACAAAGAAACTATCAATAAGGGACAAGAGGAAATGAAGAATACAATTTCTGAGTTGAAGAATACAGTAGAAGGAATCAAAAGCAGGTTCAATGAAGCAGAGGATCAAATCAGCGAGCTGGAAGATAAGGTAGAAAAAAGCTCCTAGAAAGAGCAAGAAAATGAAAAAAGACTCAAAAAGAATGAAGAGGCATTTAGGGAAATGCAAGACAACCTGAAACATAATAATATCTGTTTAATAGAGATACCAGAAAGAAAGAGGAGGGAGGGATAGAGAACCTGTTTGAAAAGGTGATGATGGAAAACTTCCCTAATTTGAGGAGAGAAGAAATCACACAAGTCCAGGAAGCACAGAGGGTCCCATTCAAGAGGAACCCAATGAGGCCAACTCCAAGACACATCATAATTAAAACAGCAAATATCAAAGACAAACAGAGAATCCTATAGGCAGCAAGGGAGAAACCGGTAGTAACATATAAGGGAGCCCGCTGCAGCTCCCAGCTGACTTCTCAACAGAAACACTGCAAGCAAGAAGGGACTGGCAAGAAATATTCCAAGTCATGAAAAGCTAAGGCCTGCAACCAAGACTGCTCTCCCCACCAATGCTCTCAATTAAAAGAGAAGGAGAAATAAGGAGTTTCCCAGACAAAAGACAGCTACAAAAATACACCTCCACCAAACCAGCACTGCAAAATATGCTAAAGGGACTGCTTTAAGATGAAGAAAAATAGTCTATGAGGACCCAGTTCCTTTCACAGTCACCAATACTTGGTATTACCTATATTTTTAATACATATTAATCTGATTGTGACAATGATGTGTTATTTTGTTACTTTATTATTTGTTGAAACTACACCTGTTTTTGTATATTTCTTGCCTATATCTGTTATTTTTAAAAAGTTTTAAGTGACTTTTTGGTATTCTTTATTCATTTTTTGATTAAATGTTTGTAGAATTTTTTCCCTAAAAAAAAACTATTAACCCTTTGTTAGATGTGTTGCAAATACCTTCCTATTCTATTACTTGTCCTTTAACTTTTTTTATATGTATATTACTGTCTAGTCTTAAATGTTTAATATAGTCATATTGTCAATATTTCACTTTATAGCTTCTGGTCTGAATATTTTACTTCAGGGCAAGAAAAAGATTATTTTGTATTTTCTCCTAAAACTCCTTAGATTCTACATATTGATTTTTAACTCATCTATTTTTTTTATAATGCGTGAAATAGGGCTCTATATCTGTTTTATTTCCAGTAATAGTGATCCATGCACTTTATTTGTTGAATATGCCTTATTTTTCCCATTGATTTGAAATATCAGTTTAATCATATATTACATTTTTAGACAGATATATACATTTGTTTCTAGAATGCTCATTTTATTTCATTGATCTACTTGATTATTTCTGTGCTGGTGTCATGCTGTTTTAATTGCTGAGGCTTTATAATGGATTTAAAGTTTTTAATATTTTATAATGGATTTTGACATTTAAAATAAATAAATAAATAAATGAAATCTGCATTGAAGAGAAGAGAAGAGAAGAGAAGAGAAGAGAAGAGAAGAGAAGAGAAGAGAAGAGAAGAGGAGAACTCCTACCTTTTGCGACAACATGGATGGAATCGAAGAATATTATGCCAAGTGAAATAATCCAGTCAGTGAAAGACAAATACCACATGATCTCACCTATAAGTGGAACCTATTCAACAAAATAAACTAACAAACAAAATAAACCACAGCATGGAAACATGGAGCAGGGTTAAAGTGACCAGAGGGGATGGGGAAGGAGGACAATGGTGGAAAGATGGGGAAAGAGACTAGACAAAGAACATGTATGAATGACTCATGGATATGGACAGTGTGGGAATTGACTGTGGGAGCGGAGCAGGGTGCGAGGGGATGGGTGGAAGAGGGCAAAAGGCAAAATACTGAGACAATTGTAATAGAATAAACATGACTTTTTTAAAAATCCAATTCATAAACAACTAAAAAAAACAATTCAGATGTAAAACAACATCCACTCTTCCTTCACATTAACTCTTAATCTCCAACTAGTTTTAAATTGTATCTATTTTTTTAAATTCAGCTTTGGTTCTTGAATGAAGAGACTGACTACAAGAGTTTGAACTCAAGAAAGTTTTTAGCCCTGGCTGGTGTGGCTCAGTGGATTGAGCACCGTCCTGCGAACCAAAGGGTCCATAGTTTGATTCCCAGTCAAGGCATGTGCCGGGTTGCAGGCCAGGTCCCCAGAAGGGGGTGCGTGATAAGCAACCACTCATTTATGCTTCTCTCCCTCTGTATCTCCCTCTCTTCCCTTCTCTCTAAAAATAAAATTATTTTTAAAAAGTTTTTAGAAGATTAACTGTCTGAATGAAATTTGCTTTATTTTCAAAATATTCAGTAGTTTTTCCTCAAACTTCTTTATGTCTGTATAAACTTACACACATTCAAAATGTAAATGTAGTGAAAATTATCTTTTAATCGTTTTCTCTAAAGATTCTAAATATTAAATTTAAATTCTTACCCTCTTCTCTGTGCATCAACCCAGGCCTGATCTCTGTTATCTTTTTCAGGATCATATAATAATTCATCATTTGTTGGAATCCTGCGTTGTTTCTTCTTTTTTTTCTTGGTCACCTGTCCTAATTTTAAAAATGTTAAAGATATGGCTAAGTATCACATCTGAAATTCTCACTTTTTTAATACAGAATGAAGAATCCAATTTCCTAAGCTATATACTTTTTCTATTTATATTTTCCTTTAAAACTTTTTTAGCTATTCCTCCAAGTACCATTCTTGTCCAATTAACATGGCATTAAAATGAAGATGACCGAAATGGCAAAACTATTTTTCACTGAAAAGTGGTATCATTAAGAGTTTAGCCCTAGCTGGTGTGGCTCAGTGGATTCAGCACCGGCCCGCGTACCAATGGGTTGCAGGTTCGATTCCCAGTCAGGGAACATGCCTGGGTTGCAGGCCAGGTTCCCCAGTAGGGGGCGCATGAGAAGCAACCACACACTAATTTTTCTCTCCCTTTCTCCTTTCCTTCCCCTCTGTCTAAAAATAAATAAAATCTTTAAAAAAAGAAAAATTACTTTTGACATCTAAATTCTCCACAAGTTCCCATATATAAAATGCTGCTGAAATCAGAAGAAAGTATTTCAAAACTGAATGAAAAAAAAAACTATGGTCATCACCCTGACAAGCTTGGCTCAGTAGGTTGAACGCTGTCCAGCAAACCAACGGGTTCAATTTCTGGTCAGGGTACATGCCTGGGTTGCAGGCCAGGTCCCCTCTTGGGAGAGTGTAAGAGGCAACCAACTGATGTTTCTCTCCCTCTCTTTCTCCCTCCCTTCCCCTCCCTCTAAAAATAAATAAATAAAATCTTTAAAAAGAAAACCACAACCTATGGTCATCCTCATATACTAGACTTTTAAAATGAACAGGTCAATATTTAATAATTTATAAAATAAAAAATTCTTTACCATATAAATTTGTTATTTGTGTATTCCAGTGTAATTACTGATATAATTAAATTAGTTTCAGGTTTTGTCAATATGTTCAATTTTGCTCAAATTTTGTATTAAATCAATTCCAAAGAATAGAGGGGCTTATTTTTCTTAAAAAACAAGGCAAAATTCTGCAAGGGGGTAAAAATATAGAAACTATTTGCAGGTGTGAAAGCAAATGCTGCTGCACAAAGGACTCTAAGGAACAGGGGGATCAAGTGCCCAGAGGAGGGAGATACTGAGGGGGAACATACTCTCCCTCTCTCCGGTCGTGCCTATGCAGTGCCATTGTTGGTCCCATGTCCTCACATGCATGCGTTCCCCTCTGTTCTTTTTTTTTCTTATAGTAAAACTGGTATACAAGGTCATATATATTACAGGTGTACAACACTGTAATTCAATATTTGTATAAACATCTGTTCTTACTCATTGCTTCTACTTTTGTTTTCATATCAACAGACTGCAATTTCTTTTTAAAAAAATCAAACAGAAGGAAATCTTAATACGAAATAACTCCTAGGTAAATTTTTTTTCATAAAATATAACTGCTAAACCTGGTAAACATTTTACATACCTGCTTTGTCTTCATCCTCAGAATCAGAATCAAAATATATATCATCATAGTACTTTGTCAGAGCTGTTCCAGCTTTCCCATTTCCTGAGGAAGACCCTGTTCAAACCATAAGGGAAGTTCACAGACTAAACTATACATAATTGACAAGAAAAAAATCTCCATATATTCTTCCATCACCGCTAAGTAATCAACTTATTCCCAATCTCATTTGGATGGAAAAATACTTTCACATCAGTAACTTACTGGATCAGTGCCCTGTGCAATTACAAAGAACTGCCCCTCTTTAATTAAATGTTCCAAATCATGCCCTGGCTGGTATGGCCCAGTTGGATGGAGCATTGTCCTTTAACCAAAAGGTTACAGGTTCAATTCCCGGTCAGGGCACATGCCTAGGTTGCAAGTTCAATCCCCAGCCTAGGAGCATATGATCTCCTGTCCAGGCACATACAAGAGGCAACGATGGATGCTTCTCTCTTGCATCAATGTTCTCTCTTTCCCATCCTCTGTTCCTTCCTCTCTCTCTAAAAACGGCAATGAAAAAATGTCAAGTGAGGATTTAAAAAAATAAAAATGTTCCAAATCATGAGGTGATTTTTCCCTCCCTTCCCACAAATATAATTAAATAAAATACCTATATTTTCAGGTTACCAGCATACATATCTCTACCTTTCAGCCATGCCATATACTCTGGAGAACATGGAATAAACATCTTGTTTTAAAGGGACTTTAAGGGAATGAGGGTAAGAGCTCTACAGAGAGGCAGGGGAATGACTCAAAGACTCATTTGTGCCTAATGCCAGGATATTACCTATACTTATGTCATTATATGTCTGCATCCCTCATTTCTCCTCTTAATGAAAACCCACTTTTGCACCCCGGTTGGCATGGCTCAGTGGGTTAAGCATCACATTATGAACCAAAAGGTCACCAGTTAAATTCCTGGTCAGGGTACGTGCCTGGGTTGTGGGCCAGGTCCCCACTTCGGGGCATACAAGAGGCAACTGATCAATGCTTGTCTCACACATTGATGTTCCTCTCCCTCTTCCTCCCTCCCTTCCCCTCTGTCTAAAAAATAAAATAAATAAAACCTTTTTTAAAAAATCCACTTCTGCTTTTATTATTATCATATATGGCTTGATTCTTAACAATTAATACACAGCGTATCAACATGGAAACCAATGTTGAGGAGTCCTACTATCACAAACCAGTTTCTGAGTCAGGTACATTTTACATAAAGACCAAGTATCAAAATGAAATATGTTTCATTACTGACTAAAACAAGGCAGGAATTTGTGCAGAGATATCATTCAACTTGCCATATCAGTGCTACATAACCCTAAAAATACTTCTATAAGCCTGTCTTTTTTTTTTTTATTCCTGGGGTAAAAATTACAAAAGGAAATCATGTAAGTAAATAATGAAAACCCACTTCTACTAAATAATCTCAAACAACATAGGAAATTTCTTCACTAGTCATCAAAGAAAACTATGCTCAAGTTGCCCAACACATTTATTCATTCCCTCAATAAATATCTGTTGAGTACCTACTGAAAGTGCTGGGGACACAAAAGAACACCAATACAGTTCTTGCCCATATGGAACTTAGTTTACCTGTATCCAGGGAGGATAATTTATCCTCCATTGTTTTCATAGTAGAATTTAATTCAGCTTCCATTTCTTTTTCAAATTCATCTTCGCTAGATGATTCACTTTCTCCAGTAAGACATTCTCTGATGAGTTTTCGTTTTTGGTCAGGGGTTCCATGTAAAAGCACATCCACTTCATCTTCAGAACTAATATATATATAAAGCATAAAGAGAATATGTATATTAAAAAATTAAAATAACAACCCCCTTCATCTCACTGCCCAACAATTTTAAGTTTTATAAGGTTGTATTAGATTTATCTGGTATATTACAGAGCTATTCTCACTTAGACCAACCATTTCTGCATATTTCCAAATGTATTTTTTAATATCTGCATAACATTTCTTCTTGTAAATGCTGTACATTTCAAGCTCTTTGATATTAAACACTACAATGAACATCTCTGTATTATGTAAATTTTTTATTTCTTCAGACTGACTGAATGTCTAAAATTAGATACAAACATCTTTCTGACTTCTTAAATTACCACATTGCTTTCCAGAAGTATTGCGCCAATTCATAATTCCATCAGCAATGACAAGTTTACTCCACAGAACTGGGAGTTTTTTAAAACTCTGGACACTTATATGAAATCTAAAAACATGTAACTAATACATCACTAATATATCCACATAAAATGTTAACAGACAGTAATTAAGCATTACAATTTAAAAGACACAGTGCTACAGAGAACTATAAAAAAGCTAAATTATATTCCAAATTCTCCAGAGCAGTTTCTGCCAATTTACTCGGCCTGCTATGCCTGGGTTTCCTTATCCATAGCAGTGTAACAAAATTATGCCAAATATCATCAGGAATATCTGAAATGCCTAAGATATTTTTAATACAATCAATAGTTCATATGTAATGCTCAGTTACTCATGGTCTGATGAATAGTTACAGGCTATTCCCGGTTTCTGCCTATTTTCGTCTTCTAGAAAAATGTTTTTGAGCCCCCAGCAGAAGGGAAATCAGAAAATCCAATTCACAGTAATCAATTTTGCTAACGATAGAGGCTTCTACTCCCAAGATATTTCCCATCTGACATTCTTCATCCTGACCAGAATACTCCCTCTTTCTTCATTATCACTATATTTACTCGGGTCCTCTTAAATTTACACCATATTCTAAGGATCTCCAGGCCTCTAAACTCATCTTTTTCATTCCATCCTTAACTCTGCTGCCAGAATGTTATTCCTAAAGAAATCTCATCACACCACTACCCTGCTCTGAAAGAAACTGTCCATGCCCAAACCTTGGAGCACAGCATTCAAAAGAGTTTTCCACAGTCTGGTTGCAACTTATCCTTTCAACCTTGAACTACCTCAGTGGTCTTCAACTTGGGGCAATTTTGCCCCACAGGGAATATTTATTATACCTAGAGACATTTTTATTGTGACAACTGATGGCTGGAGGAGGAGCTATTGGTACCTATAGCCTACAATGCACAGGACAGCCCCCCTCAACAGAGAATTATCTGACATGTCAATGCGGTAGAGGTTGAGAAACTCTCTGATCTGTTCTACATTTCAGTGTTTCTAAAGTGTGGGATATAGGAGATTATTTTAAAGAGTAGCAGAATAGATGATGGCCCATTCAATAACACTGAAGCCATTGATAGTGGGAATGTAAAATGGTACTATGAAAAACAGCTTGGCAGTTTCTTAAAATAAAATTAAACATGTAATTACCATACAACCCAGCAAATGAACTCCTGGGCATTTACCCCAGAGAAATAAAAATTTATATGCACACAAAAACGTATACATGAATGTTTACAGCAGTTTTATTCTCAATAGTCAAACATGGAAACAACCAGGTATCCTTCAATGAGTGAATGGTTAAATGCAAAATATCACTCAGAAATAAAGAAATGAACTACTGATAACTACAACAATGGGGGTGTATCTCCAGAGAACTACGCTGAGTGAAAAAAGCCAATCCCAAAAGGTTACATGATGTTGGAAAAAGCCCTGTCTGGTTTCAGGAACTGTAGAAAGGGCTCCAAGGCCGGACCTAATCAAGGCGGCCTTGGGAAAACAGGCCACTGAGGAGATGAGGAGATCACACCACCCTGCTTGGCCCTGAGGTGGCTGGTAGTCAATGACGGGTAAGATCCCTCAATGGAAGGGACAACCTAAGCCAGACACAGCTGAAATGGGCATCAGGACAAAAACTTGGGGGACAAGGAAAAAGGGCAAAAAGACCCGCACCCTTCAGCTCGGCTTTGACATGGTCAGGGTCCTCATTCTATCTGAAAGAAGTCTCCTTGTCTGTTGGCGGTTCCCTCTCCCCACCTGACTCAGGCTTGAAACAATACTGGAGACAGCCGTAAACTGGATCTGGATCTGGAGACAGCCCTAAACTGGATCCCTTTCCAAGGGAAATCAGGCCTAGAAGTAAATTCTTTAAAGCATGCTGTTTTTCCCTCAAAAGCTATGATAGCCAGCTCATGCTGGGAAGGAAATGTACGTTATTCACAGACCCTAACCCTAAACGCTTTGGCGCTCTTATGTTTACTACAGTCTCATGTTTACTAGTCTCCTCTCGGACCCATGTAAATCAGTGTGTTCCTGCCATTTGTTTTTTTTTCCAAAACATCATCTATTCTCTGTAAACATTAATATACTGATGTAATGAGTTCACCTGCACATTCCTTTTGCCTGGCCCCATTGATAACTTTTTCAATAAAAGCCTTTGGAAAAAGGGGCTTGGGGCCTTCTCCACTAGAGGGAAGAGCCATGCCCCCTCTCCTGGCAGACAGAAGTGTTTGCGATGACTCGTGTTTATTCCCCCATCCATGACAACCCCGGGAAAGGCTCTGCAGGAATCAGAGCCCCGTTCCCTCCTCAGCTGGCCCCTGGACAGTGACCCTCAGATCCAGAAGCCCTGCCTGCATCATTCCCAACATACTACAGGATTCCACTTACCTATTTTTTGAAAATGACAAAATTATAGAAATGGAGAATAGACTAGTGGTCACCAGAGGTTAAGTACAGCATTGGGGCAAAAAGTGGGGAATATGAGGGATCCTTGTGTGGATGAAAACATTCTGTAACTTGACTGTATTAATGTCAATATCCATTATCGTACTAGTTTTTCCAATATGTTAACCATGGAGTAAACTGAGTAAAGGGGACACAATCTGTTTTTTGTTTTTTCTTTAAGATTTTATTTACTTATTTTTAGAGAGAAGGGAAGGGAGGAAGATAAGGCAGGAGAGAAATAGCGATGTATGAGAGATACATCCATCAGTTGCCTCTCACTCATCCCTGACTGGGGACCTGGCCCACAACCCAGGCACATGCCCTGACTGGGAATCGAACCTGCAACCATTTGGTTCGCAGGGCGGTACTCAATCCACTGAGCCACACCAGTCAAGGCTCTCTGTATTATTTCTTAAAACTGCATGTCAATCAACATAAAAAAATTAATTAAAAAACAAACACATTAAATCACAAGGCAAGAGAATTATTCTTTTTGCAAATTTTCTTCAGTTTTTGTGATTATTTCTAAAGAGTCTCAGCATTTAGCATTGCTGGGCAAGGAAATATATCATGGGCCCTGCATATTCTTGTTGAGTATGCCAAGAGTGGAAGGCTCTCAACACTCTTAGGCCATTTCTCAGGGTTGTGTTTGCAGTAAAAAACTTTGATGGATGAGGTAATGTCCCTTTCCAAGATAAAGAGCAGGCTTATCTACTGTCTGCTGCAAAGGAGGTGGATCCTCCAAGCTCAAGTGGTCCTCAGACACCATGCTAACCCATTCAATGTGTAGCATCCATCTGGGTCTCTCTCCGCATAACCTCTGTATAAGTTGGGAAGAGCGATCAAAACAAACATAATGCTCCTGCTGCCTGCTGTGGTGTCAGTTTTCTGTAACCTGGGAGTCTCAGATCTACCAGTTTCCATAAAACAGTATCGGGCTATAAAATGTTAGCTTGTAAGTGGGGTAAAATCAAATCCTAAAAGACATCCCTTACCTCTCTAACACCAATCTCCCTCTTTAAAACAACAAGCATTGGATTCAGAGCCTTGGCAAGACAATGCTGTCTTCAAGCATTGTTTTGTTTTCATAGTATTTATTTTTCATTACTACTGACAACTTCACAGGATTATAAAGCTTTCTTTAAGATATTTAACTACAGTCCTAACTGGCATCACTGAGTTGATTGGGCATCAGCCAGCAAAGCCAAAGGGGGCCAGTTCGATTCCCAGGCAGGATGCATGCTTAGGCTGCAGGCCTGGTCCCTGGTTGGGGCGCATGCAACAGGAAATCGGTGGATGTTTCTCTGACACATTGGGGTTTCTCTCCTTCTCTTTCTCCCTACCTTCTCCTCACTCTAAAAATAAATACATGAAGCTTTTTAAAAAATTTTTAAAAAAAGATATTTAACTACAAAAATGTAAACTGACAATGAAAAAGATTAAATAACACAAGTGAATATGGTGATAGTAATGGCAAAACAAATCAAGTCCAGGATACATTCTTACAGTCCAATCAAACTGAATTACTAATCGAAACCTACATACACCTTTCCCAAACCTGACCCATTAACTGAAACTCCTTTTCACAGGGAATCTTGGAATCCATGTTCACTCCCCCGAATAGAAATCTTCTCGGCAAGCTGATGCCTAGGATACTGCGAGGAAATACTGTGATTGAAGGTAGGGCGGCTTTACAGAAAGCTCAGTCGGACAAAGTGTTTTAAAGTTTATAAGTAGGATCTGCTGACAGCTTTAAAAATGGCTAAATGTGCCTGGAAATCTCTTGCCAAAATAACTGCAAGTTTCTCTCAGGTAGCATTAAGCCCTTCCTTTTGGGAATTCCCACAGAACTTCATCTGTGCCTATCTAAGGTCATCATTTTCTACAATACTCCGGAGATACATACTTATTTCCAAGATATATATCTTCTGAGGTATGTATCTTATTGCCCCTACTATTCTGTAAGCCTGAAGAAGGCAAAAATCTTATGACTGATCTCTGTAGCCCAGCGCAAGCATAAAAATGGTGCTCAAAAAAAGTCTGTTAAATATTCCCTTATTTCGGTTTATGGCATATTCATCTTCTAGATGGACACTTCACATTAAGTCCCTTGAGTCGTACAACTTACTTATGCTAGTTATTATATTTCCTCCTGAGAGACGAGAAACCGAGGATAAGTGACTTGCCTGGGGTCACAGTGCTAGTAAGCTGCAGAGGCTGGATTCGATCGCACAGCTTTGGAAGACTCGCGTGTGATTCCAGAACAGCCCCCTTCCCCGCGTCGGTGTGAGGCCCGCCTCCCCCGTGGCTGCGAGACCTCACCCGGACTGCCCTCGGCGTCCCACCGGCGACAGCGGGGCCCAACGGGCGCCAGAACCGCAGGACCGAGGGTCCGCGCAGGCCCGGCGGGCACAGCGAAGGGAGAAGGCTGAGGCCAGGCCGCGGCCCGAAGCCGGGGCCAGGGGCGCGCAGGGGCCCACCTGCTCAAAGCCGGCTCCTCATCGCTTGGCTCTTCAACTGCGTAAGGGTCATAGTCGTCTTGGAGCCGGTTCATGACTGCCCCCGAACCTCAGACGCCGTCCACAGGCGTCCTCCCAGTATCTATTTCTTCCGCTGGTCCCTCCCCTAAAGCGTTACGGCCTCTCTTCCGCTCGCACTTCCGCGCCCCGCCCCCTGCACGCCTGCGCAGAGCGTCCCAGCGAGGGGGGGTGGGGGCGCGAAGGGAGCTGTATTTAGCCACCCGTCGCCGCCGCTTTTGCTTCCCGTAAAACAGCTACCTTATTACTGGATGTAATAATCGGTACCCTCTTAAGTGACGGTCTCAGATCTGAACAATCCACGTTTAGTGTCTCATTTTGTGACGTAAGAAGCAGAAATCTAGATGCCGAGGGACTTGCAGCTTGTAGGTTCTCAGAGGCTGGCTCCCGACCATCCCTTCAACCTCCTAGCCTCAAGCCGTTGTAGTTTCTTTTCACCACGCGGATGCCTGGCCTTCATAGTATTCATTCCTCAGTCTTACAGCGGCCCTGACTTTGCCAAAAAGTTGCTCGACTGTCACCAGTTACTTCCCAATTACCTGTTTTGCCCTCTTTCTTAATCCCAACCTTTGTTCAGCCCTTATCCGATTCCACTTGAGCTGAAGCAGATTACAGCCTCTTGTTTGTGACACCTTCTCTTCTCTGTTTCTGTACCAGCCTATACTCAAGTTCCTGCCTGCTTGCGGACAACTCACCACTCTTCATAATCCCATTCAGATGACTACCCCATCTTGGCCCTTGCCCTCGAGTACTGTGTTGGATTTACGGTAGCCTGCTGCACCACTGGCAATTCAAAGTCAATATAGCTGAGATTTAGCTCAACATCTTCCACCCCATTCCTATACTTCAGCCAATAGGTGCTTTTGACTCTTGATTTCTGTCACTTCCTCCATCCTTACAACTGCAATAGGCTGAAAGTCTTGGACTCTTGATTCACACCTTTCTCAATGCCTCCATGAGCCCTCTCTTCCCATCCTGTAAATCTCTTAGCAACGTCTCTCTCACCCACATCTCGTCTTCCTACCCCTCATTTTGACTATTGATATAGGCTCCTATTGACAGCCTTGTTTTGCTTTTATTCCTTCTCCGATTCATATTACATACTCTCTGCTGGCAGAGTGACCCCCTTCCAACACAGCTTTGCTCTGGATGATTTTCTTCCTGAAACGCCCTAATATTTCATATTCACCTGCTGATCTGTTCACATTATCTGCAGTATTCTTGCCCCTCTACAATATGGTTCAACCCACCATGCCAAATTGATTCCCCTTCACATATCCAGCATAATTTGCTGATTCAAAAATATGTATTATGCTTTCCATCACAAATATTTACTTATTGTGGTGCACTGGAGCACTTTCCCCCACTTTTAACTCAAAATCCATCTGCAAGTAATGGTTGGGTCAGTTAACTAGATAGAATGACCCTCTAGGACACCTTTCAGCCATGAGATGCTGAAGTTATGGGAACTCACATTGTACCTTTTCTATGATGCCTTTTCAGCTTCTCCCTCTACATGGAATCTTTCTCTTTGAACTCTTGTAGGATAATGTACCACTCACATGTCATGTGTTTCTCTGATTTTCAACTATTGTTCAACCCAGCTCTTTTGAGAAGCAAAGTACTCTCCCATTAGTCACAGTGATGTGAAGGAAACACTTGTTGGGGAAACCGTTTTTTCCATTTCAGGAATCATGGCCATCCTCAGGGATATGCCCTTACATCCATGTTCATTCTGTTCCATAAAAGTAGGGCCATTACTTACTTTCATAAAATTAAAAATAAGAGATTCTAAGGAGTGGCTGTGGTCTTAGGACTTGTAACAGGACATGTAAATTCAAAGTCTAAAGCTACCATTTTGGAGTGGCTGTATGAGGGTTATATGTACTGATGGTGAGCAAGCAAAGAAAAGCAGAAATGTTTAGCATATAGAATTAGAGAGGCTTTCCCTGACACTTTGTCAAAAGTTTAACTCCTCAACCCAAATCCCTTCTTTCCATCCCATGTCCTCTACCCCTTAATCCATATTTCATTGCTTAATTCTGCCTCCCTGTTCCATTCCTCTATGGCTACACAAAGACCACCCCAAAAATTAAGAACTTTGAAACAAAATTATCTCTTTTAATTAAAAATCTCCAATTTAGGCAGGGAGCAATCCAATTTAGGCAGATGCCTGGGGTCTCAGTTTGGGACTGAAATCACTGAGGACTAGCTGAGCATCTTGCTTTCCACATATTTTTGTCCACACAGCCTTGGGCTTTCTCACAATGTGGCAACCCAAAAGTAGTCACTTTTCTTACATGGCAAATCAAGTCTCCCGGACAGGGTTCCCAGAGACTCAGATGGAATCTGCCAGGCTTCTTCTGACCAAGTCTCAGAATTCCGTGAGCATCATTTCTACCACATTCTATTGGTCAGGTTAGTCACTAAGTCCAGATTCCAGGTAGATATAGACTCCCCTAAAAATTTGTTTGGGCCTTGCTGGTGTGGTTTAGTGAACTAAGCGCCAGCCTGCAAACCGAAGGGTGGCAGATTCAATTCCCACTTGGGCGCATGCATGGGTTGCAGGCCAGGTCCCTCATTGGGGGTGTGTGAGAGGCAACTGATCCACCTCTCTCGCACTGATGTTTCTCTCCCTATCTTTCTCCCCTCCCTCTAAAAATAAGTAAAATCTTAAAACTTTGCCTCAATATCTAAAAACAAATTGAGTTTGACAGATTAAATGGACTTTCAGAAATAGTAAATTTACTATGAAACAATAGTATAGTATTTATAATTTTTCAAGTGTTTTAAAATACTTCCTTTTACAATTACTATATACTCAACTAGACTACTGCAAAATTCCCACAGTAAATGAAGTTCATACTTTGCCCAGGTTTTCTTTCTTCAAAGTTACAATTTGAATTTTTTTTCTTTAGGACTGATTACTGTACACATTTCCTTTTTTTATAAGTGTTTGAGCCAAACTGAGAACTATATCAGGAAGCAACATCTCAAATGCTCCTAATGTACACATTTCTTACATGTTTTTTTTTTCATTGAATTTATGGACTGACACTGGTTCACAAAACTATATAGGTTTAAAGTGTACAGCTAAATAAAACATCACCTACACACTGCAATATGTGCCCATCACACCAAGCAAAGTCTCTTTCCATCCCCATTTTCGTCCCCTTTTTCCAACTTCACGTAACCCCCCAAACCCCTTTTCCTCTGGCTATCACACACTTTGTGTCTATGTTTTGTACATGTTTTTTGGCTGGTCCCTTCACATTCTTTCATGCAGTCGCCCCTCTGCCTCCCCCTCTGAAAGCTGTCCTGCAGATTTTTAGTTAGTTTGTATGCCATGAGATGAAAAAGGCTGAAAATCGCTGCTTTAAGTTCTGAGAAAGAGGAATAGAACCTGGCCAGGAAGTGTGAATGGCTGGGGAGTCAATACTTGGGTGGGAAACAGAGGAATATGAGATTGAGGGTTTATTCCAAAGATTGAGAAGTTGGATTTTTCCAGTCTTTCCTAAGATTTTATTTATTTATTTTCAGAGAGAGGGGAAGGGAAGGAGGAAGAG